GTAAAGGTAAAGGACTAGGAAGTGGATTGGAACGATTTAAATATTTATAATAAAAGTTAAAGATATAAATAATGATGATTAAGATGAAGAAGACTAAATAGTCCGTGGTTTTAATGGAATTAATAATATTTTGAATAGTCATTTTCGATTAGGAACGGAGTGATATTGTAATTTCACAAAGTGTTTATTATACGGCAAGTTAAGTGTTTAACGTCCGCAAAATTTGGCATTTTATCAATTATTGAATAAAGCAAAGGCATATACACTGTAACGGGTAAAAAGTAAACGTGACCAATAAAACTGTGAACAAAATCGTTACCAAGCATAGTAAGATCGACAAAAGTGACCCGTACCGATCGTTGCATGTGATTGTGATCGAGAATGAACATGCATTATCCCCAAAAACCCAATCGGTCGAAGGATCAATGTATATGATAAAATAAGAAATAGAGCATAACAAATACGTCCAAGATTCAGAATGATAGGATTGAAACGACCGACAAATTGGAAGATTTTGTGTTAGAGAATAGAAGGAAAAAAGTAACGTTAGAAAGGCAGCAAGGTTTAAGGGTAATAAGAGAAAAGCTTGTCCGTCGGATCTAAAACAATCGATAGTGTGGAAAAAACGGTGGAAAAATATTAACAAAAAGCCCTAAAGCATAAGTTGGTCCCAAATTTACCAAATTACGTATTAATCGATCAATGGTAAACTCTGAAAGAAATATTTAGGACCTCTGATCTGTACTGATAACGCGTCTAATCCATCTAATCCATTTTGGCGTATTTCGTTAGAAATAGAAATTTACATATAATATATGGGAACATAGATTAATATAAAGATCAGTTTCGGTTCGAGTTTGGCTGGAGGTAGAATACTCTGTAACCTAAAAAAGGAGCCTATAATCGTATGCGAAGCCTGTGGAAGGTACATATCTATTTCCGGAAGGAAACCGGTACGGCAGAGCGTAGGCACTACTATAGTGAGAAATGTGGAGAATGTTGTCGACTTTTGTGGCCTTACCTAATATGGAATCACCTCTGGCGCAATAAAAGCCCAAAGGTCCGCTAGATATTAATTTAAGTTTGGTGTTACAGAAAAAGCATTAAAAATCAGATACTTTAATAGGAAACCCACAGGCGGGTTCCAGGTATGGCAATTAGCAGGTAACCTGCGGGCGGAACTTTAAATAGGCAATGACTAAAATTGTGCGTGTTGCTAATTGTGATTGTTAAGGCAGGTTAAAAGCATAACTAAAAAAAGGATGCACATACAATGATCACGCTGTCCAATAGAATTCGAGATTTCAAACACAGCAACTTGTCTGTAAACCATACACTTCGTTTCACTACGTTCCTGGTACATGTATTAGAAGCATATACCTGATCATTTATTAATTTATTAGAAGAGAAAGATCGATTTATTGATATTCTTGTAGAAATTAATAAATTTTATAAATTAAATTATTTTATAAAATAAATAAACATATATTAGTAGTACTGTATTTTTTTTAATAAAATAAATGTATTCTGTGGTATTTATTAATTTACATATATTATGCGTATCACATGATTTATATATAGAGGCATGCCCCGGGCACGATATGAGGGGCATGCCTCAGCCCAAGGCATGCCCTTTTGGGCATGCCCAAAAATTTTCCCGTGCCCCAAACCCTATCCTGCGCCCTGTCAAAATTATGCATGCATTAAGTCATAATTTAATCAGAGCTACTTTAGGTACGCAACATTACCATGTTTAGTCATAATAATAATGGACAAATCGTCGAATACGATAATTTGATAAATTATTGGCTGACTCGTGGCGCTTCGTGGCCGTTATAAAAACCCCAATCTCCTATAGAGACAAGTACGTATAAACAAGGTATTTCCTAAATTGTTAGCATCAATAAAGTGCGTACATAAATACTTTATTGAAGTCAATAATTTAATATTTGATTTCAACTTTATAATAATTTAATTTCAATGTGCTACTTAATTATGCAGTTAATATAACGTATAATTAAGTTCATTTGAAATCAAGCATTCCTTAAATTATCGATTTCAATAAAGTATTTATAGCTCTCAGCGAAGATCAAACCCATTATGACTTTGGAAAGACTGAGCCGTGTTGATGAATAAAAATATTTTGTTTATGTACGCACTTTGTCTCTATAAGGAGCTTGTGGTTTTTAGATTTCTTGCACCGTACATGTTTGAGAGCTTATATCATTAAAAGGAATTTTATATAGAGTATGGGCATAGCATATCGGCTGATTTGGTACATAGATAGTACATAGAGGATCTACGGCATTTTCTTTATAAAAGATTGACGTTTGGTGAACTATTGTCAGAATACCCTTCATTATAAAACTGACAAAAAAAAAAATCATCTAGTGATAAAAGCTTTGTCAAATGAATCCGAAATATAGTTCTTATTGTAAGGTCGATAAATCCTTCCTTGTTGTAGGTAAAGTAGATACAGTACTGAAACGAATCTCCTCAGATGCCGATATTGATGGTGATTGGTGGGACAGCAAGCGATCTTTACCGAACAACCTGGTGTTGATATGATCAGTGATTTTCAGGGTGTCTTATCACATCAACAATGTATTATTAACACTAACGGAGATGGATTGCACCATGACACCATGGAAATTACAGTAGGAAGTAATACAGAACGTAATAGGCTGATCCGCATAAGCTTATTTGGTAAAGCAGTACATAGATATGATACAACTATGTTCTCTAAAATGTGTGAACTTATTCAGGATTATATCGTATTCGTCAAAAACCAACCTCCTGAGACTAGAAAATCCCTTACGATTGGTATTAATGTTAACGAAGCATTTAATACTAATGATGATTTCGATATAACATTAGAGATCTATTGGAATATTGAGAATATCTGTATGTGGCCTAAATGCATTAGAAGTGATGGTATTTGCTATATTATATCTCAAAAAACATTAGGATTAGAAGATATAGAAAGTCAAGTAATTATC